AATGACCTTTTCTAAACTGTGTCCTAAATAACACAGTGACTCAGAGAGCTGCCTGATGTCACAGTCAGACAGCTAGCCAGCAATGGCAGGTTCACCACCACTTCAGTCAAAGCAACTTCGTATCACAAGCCACGTTAAGAGCAGTTTTTCAGAGAAATTCCAGAGCAGTCAAAGGCAAGGGCAGCTGTAATGGACACTTTAACAACAGCATGCAATGTCTTTCATTTCTCTCCCAAGATTTTCCGATCTCTTTACCACGATGGCAGGTATCACTAAGTGTTGACTCTATGGAAATATCCCAGACTTTCTTCTTAACTCTTCTTTCTATACTTCAGACAATGGAGATGAAACAGGAGCAGGAGCACAAATTCTCATTTTCATTTGTATCCTCTATGATTGCACTGTGTCATCGTCCTCTTTCCATGGGCCTTGCTTCTAACACAATACACATCACATCCACAGCACAAAACCGATCACACCCACAAGGTTTATCATACCACTAAATAGCAACACTACACTGTCTCCTTCTTTCCTGTGGGAGCTGCTTACAGGCTGGAATGTCCAGCCAGCTGGTTCTGAAGTGATGGAGGCTGCTGGCAGGGGATTGCCCAGCAAAACCAACCAAACAAGTAACACTGGGAGTTACCTTCTGCCCTAGTAGCTGGTGGACCAGTCTTACATATAATTCCTCAAGATGAGTTTTTGCTTTTTTGTATTTTTCCTGCCACTTCTGGGAGAGAGATACCTATTAGCAAAGTCTGAACTAATAAATCCACAAGACCAAAGGGTTGTACTGTCTCTTTTCTTACTTTCTAATTCAGCAAAAGAGACTGAAAGCAGGATAGATGCTGGAGTTAGTGAGTGGCTACTAAGCAGGACTTGAGATAGGATCACTGGGAAGGACACCTGGTATTAAACTAAATGAAGCTCTACTGGGGCCTTGAAGAGTCACAGAAGTGCTGGTGACTGCCTTCTGGGTGGCAGGGGCTTTCTTACCTTCAAGCCAGTATGTTACCATGTCTCCTTTCCCCTAGGGAAGAAAATGAGTCATGGGGTTATAATATTACCTGCCATTTGTGTAATAATCTTCTTATTACAACTCAAAGCAAGTCTCAAAAGGAGACTGATGTGCCAGGCAAAAATTTTACATTCAGGAAAACCGAGGCATAAAGCTTTTCATTAAAAGATAGTGGCAGCACTGTGGATTTAAACAATTCCTTGAAGTCCCATCCAAAACTGGGTCCAGAAGTATGTTAGGCCTCTTATAGAACTCTTATAATGATTTATGATGTCTCTAAATGATGTTTTTTGATTTCAAGCAGTTATGACAAAGTGACCTGCCACGCAGTATTTCCAAGTTTGGCTAAATCCTTCATCTCCTGAATTATCAGTGTTGTCCCAAGAACAACTGCACTGGTCCTGATTTAAAACTTGAGCCTGCTCTCTTCAGGGACAAGAAACAGTCTAACCCAAGGACTCTGAAACATAGAGGACTGCATAGGTTAAAATTCAGGGACTTTCACACTCTCCTCCTGAAAAGCTGAGTGTAAACGTTGCATACACACCTTGACTTGTAAATTCCCACGGCATACTAACACATACTCTCCAATCTGCTCCAACAGCTGGTATGCACTCAAGCTGCACTGTATCTTAAGAGCTGGAAAGAGAGACAATCATCATATTATCATAACAATTCAAACACCTAAGACAGAGCAATCCCTCTCTGTGTGCCGAAGACTTCAAGACTCATTAATGAATCCCCCCCTTGCTTTTTTTATGCCTTTGCTGTCATTCCTCTGTTGTTTGAAAAGTTCACACACAAGCTCCAGTATCCCAGACTCTTTGTGAGGGCATCTCAGGACAAATATGTGGCTGTCAACAAACACTGCTCTTCACATCCTGCTTCTAATATTATTTTGCTACTCTTCATAGCTGCCTGGCTGGAGTTACTGACAAGCATCCTTTTCATCTGTGAAGAAAACCATACATAGTTCTACCTCCTGGTCAATAAAGAGCCAGTGCTTTCTTTGCAGATACAGCTTTCAGCAAAGTCTAAACATTAAAGAAACTGCCATCCTTGCTCTGCCTCCAAACCTGTAAATAAAAACAGGGGGAAGAGACAGTATTATCGTAATTCCACTGTTTTTTTAACAATGTGATTTTTCCTTAGTTGAGAATTTATCTTCATGTAAACCCTGTCTGTCTTGCCTTTTGCAAATGATGGAGGAAAGACCAAGGAGGAGGACAGATAGAATAAATTTTGAATACTCTTACCTTTGCCAGAAAGCAAAATTTTGCCAAAATTTCGAAAATTGCCAAAAAAAAACCCTCTGGGTTCTTTTGCCTTTAACATTCTGCTACATAGAATATATCATTACGCCTCTTTGTTTGAAAAAGATCTCAGATCATAGTAGGACTGGCTAAGATTGTCTTACTGATTTTTCTTATATCAGAAAATTATAGTTTTGTAATATCCACTTTTTTTTTTCTTTAAAAGTTTTTTATGGAAAGTCTCGAAACACTGCCTATAGACCAGGTAATATATGATTTGACATATCCACATACACAGCTCTGAAATACTCTTTTCGGTAGCTACATGATATTTTAAGTGGTCATCCTGCTTGGGAACAAGACACTAGCACTCAAATTCCAGCTGACAGCAATTTTAATTTACACTGCTAGTAATTAATTAATTGATTTATTTTAAATTGATCATCTTAGGGGTAAAACACGTTAATGTAATTTGAGATCCTCTGATGTACATGGCCAGAGAAAGAGGGAGATAAAAGAAAAGCTTAAAAGACAAGAAGCTCTGTCTTTATACTTAAGTTTATAGTGTTGATGTGCCATATGAGAAATTGTGTGACATACAGAACAAAAGACGAAATATGAAGAATGATGGAAGCACATTTTTAAGGCATTAGTTTTAAAGCAATGCAGATGAGATGATACAAAAAGCCTGAAACGAGCAGGAGGAGAAGGAAAGGAGTTATCTGGGAGACTAACAGAAGGAAAACAAAGTTATATGTGTTCCACTCAGGCTGGGATTTGCTTTGGAAAAATACATAAAATGGTGAGAAGGAATGGATCCTGGTTAATTCTCAAACCCCTAGGCTAAACCTTCAAAGCCATCATGTAGGACCACTCCTCTGCCTTTCTGCTTTGTTTTCAGTGGATCATGATAAAGCATCACTTTTTATCACGAAATTAAGCTTGAAAACACCTTGGATTTTGTCTAATTCAAACCCATTTACAAAGCATTGCTTGTGTGAGCCCTAAAACTATTCAGCCTCATTTCATGAATGACAGAAACAAAAACAAGCCATCAAGGTTGTTTAACCTTGAATCACTCCCTCAGTCTTTTCTTTTTTTGCCTAGTTCTTGTAGATCACACTAAAATATTTCAGAAGTTTGAGGTTCAAATGCTCATACTGGCTAAAGATAAGCTTGCCAACTAAACATGGAGCTCAGTTATCTCCTGGGAAGAAGTGAAAGTGAGGATATCGCCATGATTTAATCTCTAGACATTTCAGTCTAATCTCTTTGCTGGAGGACACATCTTTTATATTGGTTAAAGGCAGACAGAGACCCCATGGTGCCCTACCATCTCTTGTATTCTCCATTGGAGAAATCAGCTAAAAAGAGGAGTCATGAAAATATTTTTACTATTAATTCAGCTGGGTGCCAGGAAGGAACACAGACAGTGAACATATCCACTTACCTCTCATTTCATCTGATTCTTACCCTCTTTTATTGTAGAGAATCCCTCTCTGAGACTTGGGGAATGAGGGGATCTCGTTACAAAGGTTGTAGAGAACATCACTGGCATAATTTGCCCATAGGCAGACGGGATCCAAAAATCAAAACCCTCCTTTCAGGATTTGCAGTCATTTAAACAGGACAGGACTCAAAACTCAGCATAACATTTTTTCAGAACTCATTAAGAGATGGTCAAAAGCACAAACTGCGGTTTGTTCCTTTTTACCTTCACTGGTAGATTCCATCCTGGAAGCTGTGTTCACAGTATCTCCAAATAAACAATATCGTGGCATTTTGGTCCCAACAACTCCAGCTACAACTGCCCCTTGTTCAAGAAAAGAAAACAAGATATTTGTGGTTTTAAATCACATAATCAGTCATACAGCCTCATGGCTGCTTCCTAAATTATGTCTCGTTGATTAACAAGATAACAACTGTCAATATTGTCTTACATGGGTTATATATCTGACTTACAGATGTCTTCCAGAACCATGGAAGGAACTGCACAAGGGCCTCAAAGGAGAACAGTGAGGGAAGTGATGACAGGATGGACATGGTGTGCATGAATTAAGGCACCTGCAGAATCAAGTTTCAACATGACGAGAATATTTTGAGGTGCAGTGAGATAGGAACGCTGCTAATAGGAGTTGTGCATGCAATGCTCACTAGTCACATGGAAAAGCAGGAACGGGAAGTAACTTGCTCCTG